ATAAAAGCAAATGAAAAGATGCTCAACATCATTAACCATTAAGGAAATGGTAATTAAAACCACAATGAGATATCACTACATGCCTAATAGAATGGCTAAAATTAAAAAGTCTCACTATACCAAGTGTTGTTGAGGATGTGAAGGAAATGGAACTCTCACACACTTCTGGTTGGAATATAAAATGGTACAATCACTTTGGAAAAGAGCATGGTAGTTTCTTATAAAGTTAAACATACAACTACCATATGATCCCACCATTCTACCTCCTAAGTATTTACTCAAGAGAAAAGAAAACCTATGCCCATAAAAGGTTTGTACCCAAATGTTCATCTTTATTTTTACTTTATTTTTACTTTATTTTTAGTAGGCAAAAACTGGAAACTACCTAAATGTCCATCAAAAAGTGAATGGATAAACAAATTGTGACATACCCATATAATGGAATATTTGCAATAAAAAGGAGTTAGCTATTGATGCACACAGCAACATGGATGAATCTTAAAACAATGATGCTCATAATGACTCTGTAAAACTATGTACTCTAAAGCTCTAGAAGGTGTAATTTACTTTATAGTGACAGAAAGTAAATCAGAGGGTGCCTGAGGGTTGGGGGAGTATTGGGCGACAGGGAAGAGAGAGAGAGAGAACTACAAAACACATAAAAAATCTTTTCAGAAGAATTGACATACTATCTTCACAGTGGTGACAGATTCACAGGTGGCATATATACATATGTCAAAACTTAACAAACTTTATTCTTTAAATATGTTCAGTTCACTGCACATCAATTGCACCTCAGTAAAACTTTTTAAAGGGGGTGGGTAACAAAAGAAGTTGTCACAATAAGCTAGGTGAACAACAGTGGCTTGGACTAGAGTTAAAGGTGAAGATGGGGAGAAATGGTGAGCTTTAGAATATATTTTGGTAGTAGAGATGAGAAAAACTGTTGATGTCATGACTAAAAAACCGAGACATAAGAGCACTCCAGTTTGAAATCTGAACAACTGAGTGGATGGCAGGGCCATTTCCTGAGATGGGGAAGGCTTGGAAGTAGGAATACACAATATTCATCCACCATTGTTTGTGACAGTGGGAAACAAAGGCAAACTAGGTGTCCATCATTAAGAGAATGGATACATAAAATGGAGACTATGCAGCAGCTAAAAGAATGAGTACATATACATAGTACAACACAGACAGATCTCAAAAACATAATGCTAGTAGAAAAAGTAAAACAGTGAGATATATAGAAAAAGCATTTAATTAAATATGAAACAAATAAAGAAGAAAACTACTTATGTTATATGGATACAAACAAACTCAAGTTATATATCAAACATTGACATATGTTCCTGTAGAGCCAGGGTGTCAAACTCATTTTCACCAGGAGCCACATCAGCCTTGCAGTTGCCTTCAAAGGGCTGAATGTAATTTCAACTCCTTAACAGTTAAGGAGTAGTTACATTCACACAGTCCTAAAATTACTTCGGCCCTTTGAAGGTGACTGTGAGGCTGATGTGGCCCCCAGTGAAAATGAGTTTAACACCCCTGCTGTAGAGGGAAGGGCAGTGGAAGTAGGGAAACAGGAAGAAGAGGAAGAGAAAATAAGCATAAGGGAAACATACATGGATCATAAAGACAGTGACCCCATGAACTGAAGAGTCCGACTCACTCCAGGCACTGTACCTGAAGTCCAGATATTGTTGATTGAAGTATAATAAAATAGCAAAAACAAAATGGATAAGAGGCCAAGGACTTGTCATATCACAAAGATTAAACAGTCATATTATTTTCACTTCTCCTGCTGAGCCCTCAGATACTACATAGCTGTATGCTCCAAGGAGGTTTTTCCCTCTCTGGATTTTCTTCATTCTCTTTTGTTACTGCTTTTTTATTATCTTTAATAAATGTCTTATTCCAAACACTGCATGTTCTAAATAAGTTTAGGGTATAACATTTACCGAAGGGGTCAGCTGTGGAGTGCAAGGGCTGATAGAAAAAGTTTAGTTTTCAGTTTAACCAAACATTCTGTCATGAGGCAAAGGTAAATGAATTGAGTCAATCACTGATCTTAGCCCCTAATAAATAAATCTAAAAAAATAAATAAATTACAAGGAAACAAGCTATGTATAATACCACATCCTTAAAGAAACAAAGCATTGAAGAATTTGATCTGATTCTGATGACAGGAGGTGAAAACCCTTACAAGAGGACTGAGCCTAGTCACAGAGAAGAGCTGCACGTATACTGTCTGCTCAGAGGAGAATTTAGGAGGCTGCTGTATGCCTTTATTTCTCTTTGAATAACTAAAGGAGATTGTACAGCCAGTAACCTCCAAGCCATGGTCCAAGTGGAATCACTATCATTACATCCTTAACCAAGTGAGAGTCACTACCATCACATCCATAACCAAGAGGTACCCTTTGGCCCCAGAACCAAAGGTAAGAGTTCATAAGGAGATGGGAGATAGTTGCTACTACTTCCTTCTATGAACATTATAACTGGATTAAACTGGCCCTTTGCCTTTGTAGAGTCAGCTATGGAATGCTCACATGGGTGGGGCTAGGGAAGATTAAGATAGTGGAACCTCAGCTCTCCAAATTAATTCATTCTGGAAGACTGTTTGAGAAATGATTTGTTCAAAAATCAAACGTCTTTTGTCACCTGAGAGACACATAACTGATCATACAGTTATCCCCATGAAAGAGTTGTTTAATGAACAACTGAGACATTTTCTCTGTGAGCAACCTGATTGAAAACCAAATTGTCTGAGATGGGAGATATTCAAGAACTGAGATTTGACTGTATTGTGTTTCTTGTCCTTAATCCCTCTAATTAATTCATGTACTAACAGAAACAACTAGAGTTAGAAGTTTTTTTTAATTTTTAAATTTGATAATATAGTCCTGGCCAAGATGGAGGCAAAGGTACACTTCACTTCCTCACACAACCAACAAAGGGATAACAGTCAATTTAAAAAAAAAAAAAAAACAACCAGAACCACCAGAAAATCAAGCTGCATGGAAATCCAACAACCAAGGAGTTAAAGAAGAAATATTAATCCAGGCTGGTAAGACAGGTGGAGTCAGGAAGCCAGGGCAGAGAGGACACACAGCAAGGTGGCAGCTGGTGAACTGGGATATCCAACATTCGTGTCCAGATAAGCCAGGAGGAACAACTGAGGAGCAAGACAGACCATGCAATGCAGGGTTCCAATGTGGGGAAATAGAGCCTCAAAACCTCTGGCTGTAAAAATCTGTGGGGGTTGAGGTGGCAGGAGAAACTCCCAGCCTCATGGGAGAGTTACTTGGAGAGACCCACAGGGTCCTAGAACATACACAAAACCACCCACCTGGGAATAAGCACCTGAATGGGCACAATCTGCTTGTGGGAAGCAAGGGATATGACAGAAAGTGGGGCAAGAACCGAGCAACCTAGCAAGTGACATCATTCTAACCCCTCCCCCACATATAGCACCACAACACAGCAAAGTGGGTTGCCCCACCCCAGCAAATACCTAAGGCTCTGCCCCTTACAACATAACAGGTGCAACAAGACAAAGAAATATGGCACAAATGAAACAACAGATCAAAACTCCAGAAAAAGAACTAATCAGTCAGGAGATAGACAACCAACCTATCAGGTGCAGAGTTCAAAACACTGGTAATCAGGATGCTTACAGAAATGACTGAGTATGGTCACAAAATAAAGGAAGAAATGAAAGCTATAAAAAGTGAAATAAAGGGAAATATACAGGGAACCAACAGTGAAGGGAAAGAAACCAGGACTCAAATAAATGATTTGAAACAAAAGGAAGAAATGAACATTCAACTGAAACAGAATGAAGAAACAAGAATTCAAAAAAATGAGGAGAGGCTTAGGAATCTCTGGGACAACTTTAAATAATTCAACATCCAAACCATAGGGGTGCCAGAAAAAAAAAGAGGAAGAGCAAGAAACTAAAATCTTATTTGAACATATAATGAAGGAATACTTCCCCAATACAGTTCTGGTGAAGGAACTAGATATGCAAGTCCAGGACACTCGGAGAGTCCCAAACAAGTTGGATACAAGAATAAACACACCAAGACACATAATAATTAAGTTACCCAAGATTAAAGATAAGGAGATAATCTTAAAAGCTGCAAGAGGAGAGAACAGAGTTACGTCCCAAGGAGTTCCCATAAAACTATCAGCTGATTTCTCAAAAGAAACCTTGCAGGCAAGAAGGGGCTGGAAAGAAGTATTCCAAGTCATGAAAGGCAAGGAACTACATCCGAGATAACTCTATCCAGCAAAGCTATCCTTTAGAATGGAAGGTCAGATAAAGTGCTTCCCAGATAAGGTCAAGTAAAAGGAGTTCATCATCACCAAGCCCTTATGTTATGAAATGTTAAAGGAATTTATATAAGAAAAAGAAGATCAAAACTATGAACAGTAAAATGACAGCAAACTCACAACTATCAACAACTGAACCTAAAAAACAAAAACTAAGCAAACAACTGGAGCAGGAACAAAATCACATAAATGGGGATCACATGAAGGGTTATCAGTCGGGGTGGGGTGAGGGAGAATGGGGGGAAAGGTACAGGGAATAAGAAGCATAATATAAGCAAAAATAAACAGGGGGAGGTTAAGAATAGTATAGGAAACAGAGAAGCCAAAGAACTTGTATGTACAACCCTTGGACATGAACTGAGGAGGGGGGATGCTGAAGGGAGGGGGGATGAAGGGCAGAGGGGGATAAAGGGGAGAAAAAAAATGGAACTGTAATAGCATAATCAATAAGATATACTTAAATTTGTTTTTAATTTTAACCAGGGATATGTTATTTATTGATTTTAGAGAGAGGAAGAGAAGAGAGAGAGAGATAAACATCTATTGGTTGCCTCCCATATGTGCCCAACCAGGGATCGAACCCACAACTTTTGGTGTACCGGACAACACTCCAACCAACTGAGCCACTAGGCCAGAGTGAATAAGAATTTTTAATTCCTTTATTTAATATTTATTGATACAAGCACTATTGTAGGTGTTTGGGATACAATGGTGGATAAGATAGAGTTCACGTCCTAAAAAAACTATAAAGAGAAAGACAAGTAAACAGATTACAATACAGTGTCATCAGCAGTACAGGATTGTGATCTCCCTCCTTACTCACTTCTACATCTTTAAACAGCACCTTCTCACTTATCTATGTCTAAATGCTACTAAGAAAAAATAATAACTTTTTTCTCAATTTTGAGGCACTTGTACATAAAATAATTCAAAGATCAACCACCTAAACTGCTTCTATCTATAAATTTTCTTCTATAAGAATGTTTTATCATATAGACCACTGTGGTAAATTAACATACAAATCATATGTTTATAGCACAGAAAATATAGTCACATACTGGTTTATGCATACTCAACAAAACTAAATTAGGTCAAGGCTGGGACTTTAAGTAAGTGTGAAGAAAGCCCCACCCTGCTCTCATTCTTCTTTAGCATCATTCTTTAGAATAAAGCTTTATCTGCACAAGGCCACTCTTGACATAAAAATATATTACCAGGGAAAAAGTAACATGTCAACCCACTAGCACACATAAAAATTCTCTAGAACATTAGCTATAGTACATATTTGCACAGATTTCATCAGCTCAGAAAATAACATAAAAAAGATAAATTTTTGACAAAAGGATGGATGTGGAGATGAAGGAGGCAGCATTAGTCACTTGAATGAGAAATATTAAAAACAAACTTTATGCATTTGTTAAGATAATATCTAACTACTCTCAAAGAGCACATAGCAATAAACTATTAATCCTAGGAAGCTACATTAATCTTACATCTAGTGGGATATCCTGGAAGGTTCAGCATTCACTAAATATACACTCATGGCTATCCATGAGTATCCCAGAGGTGGCTCCCTCCTTTTAGTGACAGATCTGACAGTCTATCAAAGTCTGACCTTCTTACAGGCCCATTGTAAAGGAACTTCACAGCTAGAGGCCTGGAGACCATCTTTGCCAATGGCAACACACTTCTGTACCAAGCTGTTTGAAATAACCCTGTAAGAAATCAGAAAAATCAATCAAGGTGACATACAAAGTAAAGAAGTTGGAAGGCATGAAAGAATAAAAGAATAAGCAAATTCTTTCTCCCTATTCAGACCCCATTTCTCTTAGCAACCAAAACACATCAGAATTAAAAAATGCTCATTAGCCTCTCTTTAAAATATCATCTTTTGCCCTGGTGGGTATATTTCAATGGATTGAGCATGGACCTACAAACCAAAGGGCCATCGGTTCAATTCTCAGTCAGCGCACATGCCTGCCTGGGTCTGCAGCAGAGAGAGGGCCTGCAGCAAGCAACCATACATCGATATTTCTCTCCCTCTCTTTCTCCTTCCCTGCCCCCTCTCTAAAAATAAATAAATGAAATCTTTTTTTCTAAATGTTATCTTTTTTTGTCCTTATCCACTGTTCATTTCCTTCCCTGCTCCCTATTTTTTTCCTCTCTTCTTCCTCTATTTGTCATCTAGTTCACATAATCTATCTTTCCCCCACCTTTGAAGCCTCTTACCTTGAGAAGTTTAAGACTGATCCATCTTCCCACCTCCAGCCAGAATTGTTCCTTAGACCAATCCAGTAAAAGCCTTCATCCAAGAAACTTTTGAGCAGGTTCTAAGAGAGAGATTGAAGATGAAAAAAGCAAGAAAGATGCAAAAAACAAAGAAAAGACACAGTGTTACAGTCAAACATTTATTCCTTACACCCTCTCTATCATCATCATTATGGACTGAATATTTGTGTCCCCCCAGATTTTATGTTCAAGCTCCAACCTCCACTTTGATGGAATTTGGGGGTGGGGCCTTTCAGAGGTAATTAAGTCTAGATGAAGTCATTAGGGTGGGCCCTCACTAAGGAAGGAATCAGTGTCTTTATATGAAGAGGCCAGAGCTCAATCTCCCTCTACTATGTGAGGACAAAATGCAAAGGTGGTTGTCTGTAAGCCATTAAGAAGGCTCTCTCACCAGGAACTGAATCTTCTAGCACCTTGATCTTGAACTTCCCAAACTTGAGAACTGTGAAACATAAATTTCTGTGGTTTAAGCAACCCAGTCTATGGTACTTTGTTATAACAGTCTAAGCTGACTAAAACAACCACATACTTCAGATAAACTATTCTCTCTTCTAAATTCTAATTCTAGAGATTTGTTGCTTGCAGAGTGTATCACTTCCTAGAATTGACCTGTATGTCTGTAATTGCATTCTTAATATAACAGATAAGATAAATATTATATCTCTACTTTCTCTTGCAGCTTCCTTCTTGATTGGATGGAGCACCTGGTAGGTATTCAGATAACTTTGAAAGAAAAAAAGTTGGACTCTCAGCCAAGATGGAGGCATAGGTGGATGCACCGTACCTCCACACACAACCAAAATTAGAACAGCAACAATTTAGAGGCAGAAAAACACCCAGAACTGATAGAGAATTTATCTGAATGGAAGTCGGACAGCCAAGAAGTTGAAGTAGACCCATTCATCTAGACCGGTAGGAGGGGTGGAGAGGAGCAGCCGGGTGCAGGGCACGGCACAGGTCACAGCGAGGAGAGCAGAGAGAGTTGGACGCATAAGGCAACTGGGGGAGTGTAAGGCATCTGGGGTGCATAAGATCACAGTGGGTGGACACTGAGTATGCAAACGGCAGCTGGCAGACCCAGTGAAGCAGCAATTGTGGAGCAGGGCAGAGTGCACAACCCAGGATCTCAGAGAAGGGACTGAGGTCCCACGGAGAATGGAGCTACTGCCGTTGTTCCCTCCTGCCCCCACATACAATGTCACAATCTAGCAACTGGGGTGCCCAGCCCTGGTGAACACCTAAGTCTCCACCCCTCACCCTAACAGGAGCGACCAGACCAAAAAAAATAAAAGAGAGAGAGAGAGAGATGTCTCAAACAGAAGAACAGATCAATGCCCCAAGACTCATCATTTTAAGCAACCAAGAGACAGCCAATCTATCAGATGCACAGTTCAAAACACTGGTGATCAGGAAGCTTACAGAACTGGTTGATTTGGGGCACAAATTAGATGAAAAAATGCAGGTTACCATAAAAGAAATTAAGGAAAATGCATAGAGAACCAATAGTGATGGGAAAGAAACTGGGACTCAGAACAATAGAGTGAACCAGAAGGAAGAAAGCAACAACCAAACAGGAAAGAATGGAGAAATAAGAATTCAAAAAAATGAGGAGAAGCTTAGGAACCTCCAGGACATCTTTAAACATCTGAATTATAGGGGTACCAGAAGTGGAAGGAGAAAAGCAACAGACTGAACACGTATTTGAAGAAATAATAAAGGAGAACTTCCCCATTCTGGCAAAGGAAATAGACTTCCAGGAAATCCAGGAAGCTCTGAGAGTCCCAGAGAAGTCCCAAAGAGAGTCCCCAAGAAGAAACACACCAAGGCACATCATAATTACATTAGCCAAGGTAAAAATGAAGGAGAGTATCCTAAAAGCAGCAAGAGATAAGGGGACAGTAACCTACAAAGGAGTTCCCATCAGACTGTCAGCTGATTTCTCAAAAGAGACCTTACAGGCAAGAAGGGGCTGGAAAGAAATATTCCAACTCATGAAAGGCAAGGACCTACATCCAAGATTGCTCTATCCAGCTAAGCTTTCATTTAGAATGGAAGGGCAGATAAAGTGCTTCTCAGATAAGGTCAAGTTAAAGGAGTTCATCATCACCAAGCCCTTATGTTATGAAATGTTAAAGGGGCAGGTGGATATCTAAGAAAAGAAGATAAAAAAAAAAACATGTATAGTAAAAGGACAGCAAACTCACAATTATTAACAACCACACCTAAAGCAAAACCAAAAGAAACTAAGCAAACAACTAGAACAGGAACAGACCCACAGAAATGGAGGTCACATGGAGGGTTAGCAACAGGGGGGTGGGAGGAGGAGAGAGGGGAGAAAGGTACAGAGAATAAATAGCATAGATTGTAGGTTGAAAATAGCTAGGGGGAGGGCAAGAATAGTATGGGAAATGTAGAAGCTAAAGAACTTATAAGTATGACACATGGACATGACTAAAGAGGGGGATGTGGGTGGGAGAGGGTTTACAGGGTGGAGGGGAGTAAAGGGGGAAATGGTACAACTGTAATAGCATAATCAATAAAATATATTTTAAAAAGAAAGAGAAAAAAACTAAATACTGCTGGGGAAGCAGTCACCTTTTTCATTATCATTTAATACATGAACTATTATTAAGCCTACAGCTAATTTATTTTCTTTTTCTACTAAACTCCCATTTCCTAAGTTCTCAGCAAACTTATATAAGACAAGGAAAAAAAACAGATCTTAAGGAAACAGCTTAAGGTAAAGTTAAGTTGACTACCTATTAGAACAGAAAAAAGATTCTTTCCTCTGTAGAGTCTGACATTGAAATACAGTTTATATCATAAGGGAATTGCCTCTATAAATTAAATAAGATAAAGGATAAACCCCAGAAGATCAATTTTGTTGTAGGATTTGGTGTTAGTGTAGTGAATATATTTTGCAACAAATGATCACCTTGGATTTTGTTACAGAGTTTCGTTGTGATGTTTAACTTCCCCTGATGTGATGTTAGTATGATGGGTATTGTGTTTGTTCATGAGGGAGAAGCTAACACTCTAAGTCTGAAGACCAAAAAATTAATGGAAAACCGGGAAAGCAAGATAAGAACCTCAGTGTTTTTATGTTTTACAGTGTGACTGAATATTCAAAAGCATTCATATGTTCCTTAACACATAGCAAAATCTCCTGGTTATGTGTTGTGGGCAAGCATGAATGTATGCAGTAGCATTCATGAGTATCGATAACTGAAGTCTCTGTGTGTCCAGCAAATACTGTATATATAACTAATGAGATAATTGCCTGGATCTTCTCTTTACTTCTTATTCTAATTCCCTGAAGTCACTGCAAATCCCTTGTGAAAGAAAATGGAAAACTAATAAGAAAGCATTTAAATTGTTTACAGTTCCTCCTATTTCCCAGCAAACTTGTTTTTTAGTGTTTTTGTTCAGTGAGTTGGTTTAGTTTCCACTAAGTTGCTGTTTGATCTGATAGATGTTAAAGAAAAAGACCATAACTTGGTCTCATGATCATTTCCTGACTGATCATTTGCCTCACACCTCCTTCCTGTACCAATGCTTTGAGATAATCTGCCATGTCATCCGGCAGTAGCCATTACACAGAAAATCGTGTTCTCAAATTCAATGAACTTGATTCCTCTCCCCGCTCTGTAAACTTCTCTCCTTCAGAGGAATAGAGGCTCAAAAGAGGCAATGAGATATGTTGTTTCACAGTTATTTAGGGGTAGGACTTGGACTTAGAAGCTAAAGTCTCTGCATGTCTTCTACTGATAGAGTCCATCTTACTGTATCTCATCTCTCTCTTTAAACTGCACTCTCACTAGACCTGAAAACAGTGTGAGACCCATAGGAGGTGCCAAGAATCGCACTCACTCAGCCAGCTAAGACACTGTACATCCCCTTTGATGAAACAAGCCACGATGACAACTTAAGCTTTTATTATAACATTAAATTCCAATATTTGTTACTTCCTTAGGGTGTTGATGTTGCTACAGAACAGGATGATGTATGAATAAAAATGTTTATTAAAGCTAATACATTTTGTTTTTCATTATACCCAAGGTCAGATATCCTAAAACCTGGGCTAGAAGAGGGAGATCCAAGATGGCAGGATATTCCTGGACTTCCTTCAGGCCTTCTGAAAAACCTCCTCTAAAAGTTTCTTAAAAATCAAAGAAAATTATTTTCTTCTTTAAGTTTCAGGAAAAAGTATTTTTAAACTTCCTCATTTTGTTCCAAATATACACATTTTTGTTCATTTAAATGTATCAGTATTTTCTATTGACAGCTTACTTAGTTGAATACCTTTAAAAGAAAATACTCTTTTTTACCCAGAAGCTACTAAGAAAGCAGTGAGATTTCAACCCTCTAGGATTATTACAATACCACCAGAAGTCCCATTATGATGCCCTTTTTATTCTACTCCAGAAAGATGGTTACTAAAAAGTAAGAATGCTAGAACAGTGCTCTTAATGCTGACTCTAGACTATAGCTTCCTTTCCCTACTTAGAAACTTTTGCTAGCACAATTAAGTGATCAAAGAGTTTCTCTTCTAATGTCAAGAAGAGCATAAAGCCTCTTTGCACTCCCAGTAAAGACACTAAAGGAGAATGTCTTGGCTTGGGCAGCTATGACAAATTACCATAGACTGGGTGACTGAAACAATGGACATTTATTTCTCACAGTCGGGAGACTGGGAAGTCCAAGATCAAGGTGCCGGTAGATCTGATGTCTGGTGAGAACCTGCTTTCTGGCTTGCAGACAGCTGTCTTCTCATTGTATCTGCTCCTGTGGTAGAGAATAGAGAGAAAGGCAAACTCATTTCTCTTCCTATGGGAGCACTAATTCCATCATGAGTGCCCCACCCTTGTGATCTAATTACCTCCCAAAGGCCCATCTCCAAATGCCAACACATTGGGGATTAGGGATTCAACAGGTGAATTTTAGAAGGTCACAAATATGCAGTACATAACAAAAATAGAACAAAATCTTTTGTGCTATTTGTCATTTTCACAATAACTTCTATTTTCTCTTCACCAGATTT